AGAATTTGTTGGATAGTCTGTGCCCCGCTGTGTTATTTTCCCAACATTATACTCTTTTTTTTTTTTTTTTTTTTTTTTTTTTCCAGCAAGAGTCCAGAAGGACTGAATGTCTTGGAAAAAATATAAGATACAATATGACTGAAGTTCAAATTAGTCCAACCTGGGAAAACCCGCTGGCTTTCTCATGAGCGATCCTTGGCTGTTGTCTTAAAATTACTGCAACCATTATTACTGGCTTTGGAAAGTATCTACTGAGATAGGACAGATCTAAGTAGTGAGGCTGGTGGACAACTTTTGCTACTAAGTTTACAGAAGACTATCACCATTCTCTCTCTCTTAAGTCTACTGTTGAAACCACTTGGGTCATTAAACAATGCCATCCAGGAATAGTAGATCTCTGTCCAGCAATAGATGCTACGCTTGGATCAATCAAAGAGAGAGCCATTGAAAATGTACTGGAAGAAGCAAAAACTTCAATCAAGAAGTTGACTAATGAAGGCACTTATATTGAATCCTTAAGTGAAGAAGACAAGAAGTGTTTGTTAAGACAGCTGAAAAAGTACACAGACTTGATTCTTACAAATCTACAACAGCGACTTCTGGATTCTACTCAACCTCCACATAGCTTTTACAGATGCCTGTCTTATAAAACACCCACTGTTAAGTGAAGTGAGACACTACCAACAATGGGGCTGCCATGTGATCAGGACAGAGCAAAGAATTTGAACACAGAGCGGAATATCATACGATGAACGAACAAAGATTTGACTTCAACTTTTTCTTTTTCATCACTAGTGGTTCGACCCAAACTTTGTGCTATGTTTCCTGGGATGAAAAAAGTAGGAATACATCTCTTGCTACTCCCAGTCTCAACAGCTACAGTTGAGTGTTCTTTTTCTTCGTTGAATAGAATGTTGTGTTCTGAAAGGAGTTGCCTTCTGCATGATCATGAGCATATCCTGAAGGACTGGAAGTACCGGACACATGAGAAGCCACCAAAAAATGAATGCAGTACATTTGAGAAGTTCATTAACAGAGTTGTGCAAAATTACAAGAAGAAACCAAGAAGGATGTAGAAGTCGTGCTTCATAGCAGGCTTGAGTAGCCAACTTTAATTTGTATGATGATTTTAAAACATGAGTTAAATCTAATAAAATGGTTGTGAAACATTTTTCAGTTTTTACTATGGTGCCATGCAGCCCACCTTCACCCGCACTGTTTAACCTCTCATCCGCCCTCAGTCCCCTGTAAATGCGAACACCCCCACTTAATTTCAATTCCCAGGGAAAACACTGGAGCTGGGGGCCTGGCTGGGGCAGGAGCCCAAATGAAGGAGGTTTGGGGGGGCTAAGGGGCGCTGGGGGTGGGGGCCTGGCTGGGGGTGGGGGCCTGGCTGGGGCAGGAGCTTGAAGGAAGGAGGTTTGGGGCAACTGAGAGGCGCTGAGAGGGAGGCTAAGCCTGGGCGTAAGGGGAAAGGGGGAGACAGAATGGTCGTTCCCCTCAGCCCTTTTCCTTCCCACGGTGCTGTGCCTCCCAATCCTCTCCAGTGTTACACCCTGGAGCCATCTTCTCCCTCTTGCCACCTGGACGTCTCCCCAGCAACTCCCCTAGGCACTTCATTGCCCCTTCTTCCCAGGGGAATCCTCCAGCCCATCTTCCCCTCCTGGGGTTCATGCCCCCTTGGTGCAGTGCCCTCCCACATACTCCCACAGCCCAGCACCATGCTCCCCAGGGTATCTCTAGGGGCTCTCCCCAACCCCTTCCCATCCCCCACCCTGAGGTCTCTGCGCTGTGCCTTCTTCCCACCCTAGAGTTCCACCCCCACAGGATCTTCTGTCACCTTTGCTCAGCTTCCTGGCCATGAGGTGTGTCCTGGGGCTATTTCTTCTCTCACTCTGGAGCTGTGCCCCCTTTACCCATCGCTTCCTGGTGCACCCCCAAAGTCCCCCTATGGAGCTCTGCTCCCCTGGCCTCTGGGCTCACCCCACAGCGCTGCATTTCCTGCTTGTCTTCTCACTCTCTGTCTCCCCCACTCTCCCAGGTGAGCACGACAGTAGCAGCAGCAGCAGCCTCCTGGTGGTCAGGATCCTGGCGCCCAGCCCCTCCCGGGGCCCCTGTCTCCTGGACAGCGGCAGCAGCATGAACGGCAGCGTGGCGCCACCGGGGGTGGTGGAGGCGGCGGTGGCACCGCTGCCCTCGCCCGGCTGGCGGGATTTCTGCGAGGCCCATGCCCGGGCAGCCGCCCTGGACTTCGCACGGCGTTTCCGCGCCTTCCTGAGCGAGAACCCCCAGTTTGCAGCACCAGGGGCCGAGGCTGCCTTCTCCCGCCGCTTCGCGGAGCACTTCGTGGAGCACTTCGAGGCCGAGGTGAGCCGGGCCTGTGCCGGCGACTCACCCCCCCGCTGCGACATTGCTCCCTTCACTGGTGCCCACCATTGTCCTGGGGGCGCCTCCTCCTCCTCCACCCGCGACCTCTCCGAGACCTGCAGCGACTCCTCGGTGGCCTCTCCGGTGGAGCCGCAGCCCGGCCTGGCCTCGGGGTTGTCCAGCAGCCAGTCTCGTAGCTCTGAGGACGTCTCAGCCTCTGCCGCGACTGCCAGCACGAAGCCTAAGCTCAAGAAGCGCTTCTCCCTGCGCAACGTCAGCCGCAGTGTGCGGGGCAGCATGCGAGGCATCCTGCAGTGGAAGAGCTCAGCCGAGTCCCCCACCGAGGAGGAGGCTGGCGGGGCCAACACCAATTCCAACTCCTCGGGGGGCGGGGCCGCGGACTCCTTGCCCACCGAGCGCTGGACACACAAGTTTGAGAGGCTGCGGCTCAGCAAGGCGCCTACCCCCAAAGTGGAACTGTCCAGTGTGCGCCGGGAGGGGCTGCTCAATTATATCGTGGCTGATGACAGCGGAGGGGGGGCTGGCAGCCGGGCCCGATGGCAGAAATGCCGGCTGCTGCTGCGGAAGGCAGGCAAGGGAGAGGGCGAGGGCTACCTGCTGGAGTTCTACATCCCCCCCAAGGTGAGGGGCGGTGGGAGTTGTGTCCCATCCTGGGGGGCAGCCATCCACCTGATGGGATTCCTCATGGGGGGGCTGCTAGTAGGGATTGGCCGGGGGAGCCTCAGGTCCGGGGTGGCAGAGAGCTGCGGTTCAGGATTAAGGAGCATTGCTAGAGCTGTACATATTGTGAGAGATGAGGTGGAATGAAAGGTGTTCTGGAGAGAGGGCTTCTGGGTACCTTGCCTGGCTTTGGGAGGAGAGTGGGGGTTTAGCGGGGTACTGCAGTGGATCTTAACCTTTCCAGACTACTGTACCCTTTTCAGGAGTCTGATTTGTCTTGTGTACCCCAAGTTTTATCTCTCTTAAAAATTACTGGGCTCATATAAATATTGTACTTACATTTCAATGTATAGTGCATAGAGCAGTATAAACACATCATTGGCTGTATGAAATTTTAGTTTGTACTAGGGCTGTCAAATGATTAAAAAAATTGCGAGTAATTGTGAGATTAAAATTTAATCGTGATTAATTGCCATTTTAATTGCACTGCTAAACAATCATAGAATACCATCTAAATATTTTTGGATGTTTTCTACATTTTCAAATATATTGATTTCAATTACAACAGAACACAAAGTGTACAGTGCTCACTTTATATTATTATATTTTATTACAAATATTTGCACTGTAAAAAGATAAACAAAAGAAAGAGAGTATTTTTCAATTCAGCTCATGCAAGTCCTGTAGTGCAATCTCTTTATCATGAAAGGGCAACTTATGAATGTAGAATGTTTTTGTTTTGGTTTGGTTTTTTTACATAACTGCACTCAAAAATAAAGCAATGTAAAACTTTAGAGCCTACAAGTTCACTACTTCTTGTTCAGCCAATCGCTAAGAGAAACAAGTTTATTTACATTCACAGGAGATACTGCTGCCCACTTCTTATTTACAGTCACGTGAAAGTGAGAACAGGCGTTCTCATGGCACTGTTGTTGCTGGCGTTGCAAGGTATTTACGTGCTAGGTATGCTAAACATTCGTATGCCCCTTCATGCTTCGGCCACCATTCCAGAGAACATGCTTCCATGCTGATGACGGGTTTTGCTTGATAACGATCCAAAGCAGTGCAGACCAACACACGTTCGTTTTCATCATCTGAGTCAGATGCCACCAACAGAAGGATGATTTTGTGGGGGGGTCAGGTTCTGTAGTTTCCAAATCGGAGTGTTGCTCTTTTAAGACTTCTGAAAGCAAGCGCCACACCTCGTCCCTCTCAGATTTTGGAAGGCACTTCAGGCTCTTAAACCTTGTGTCAAGTGCTGCAGCTGTCTTTAGAAATGTCACATTGGGACCTTCTCTGCATTTTGTCAAATCTGCAGTGAAAGCGTTCTTAAAACAAACAACATGTGCTGGGTCATCATCCAACATTAAATATATGGCAGAACACAGGTAAAACCACAGAGCAGGAGACATACAATTCTCCCCCAAGGAGTTCAGTCACAAATTTAATTAATGCGTTATTTTTTGAACGAGCGTCGTCAGCATGGAAGCATGTCTTCTGGAATGGTTCATGAAGGGGCATATGAACGTTTAGCATATCTGGCACATAAATACCTTGCAATGCCAGCTACAAAAGTGCCATCTGAACGCCTTCTTCTCACTGTCTGGTGACGTAAATAAGAAGCGGGCAGCATCTCCGGTAAATGTAAACAAATTTGTTTGTCTTAGCGATTGACTGAACAAGAAGTAGGACTGAGTGGACTTGCTTTGAAGTTTTACACTGTTTTGTGTTTGAGTGCAGTTATGTAACAATCTACATTTATCAGTTGCACTTTCACGATAAAGAGATTGCACTACAGAACTTGTATGAGATGAATTAAAAATACTATTTATTTTGTTTTTTTACAGTGCAAATATTTGTAATAAAATATTTAAAGTGAGCAGTGTACGCTTTGTGTTCTGTGTTGTAATCAAAATCAATTTATTTGAAAAGGTAGAAAAACATCCAAAAATATTTATAATAAATGTAAATTGGTATTCTATTATTCTTTATCAGTGCAATTAAAACTGTGATTAATCACAATTAATTTGTTTGTTTAATTTGCTTTGAGTTAATCACTTGAATTAACTGCAATTAATTGACAGCCCTAGTTTGTATTGACTTCGCTAGTGCTTTTTCTGTAGCTGTTGTAAAACTAGGCAAGTGTCTAGATGAGTTGATGTACCCTCTGGAAGAACTCTGCGTATCCCCAGAGGTACACATACCCCTGTTTGAGAACCACCGGGGTAGAGCGGGGGTAGGAGAGTCAGGTTGTACTTCTGGGTTCCTGATCTGGCTGTGCAGTCTTGGCAAAGTCCCTTCCCTGGGCTGCACCCTCAGTGTAACAGGTCAGTAATGACCCCTGTCCCATCGCACTCAGCCTGACACAGCCCTGTGTGGGGAGGGGATGAATGGCCCGGCCTAGGGTTGGGTTGATTGCGCGTCCCATCTCACCTTGCTGTCTCTCACCTGCCCTCAGTCCACCAAGGCCCGGGTCAGCATCCTCTGCTCGGCGGTGACAGATGTGCGCACCACCACGCCGCTGGAGATGCCTGACAAGGAAAACACCTTTGTCTTAAAGGTGGGTGCGGGGGACTGGGAGGGGCTGTGAGGGGAATTGCTCACGGGGGGGGGGGGGGAAGAATCAGCCACACCCCTTCCTTGCACCGCTGCTGCTGTCGTGGATTAAGCACAGGGCTGGGGTGGAGCAGGTGGAACCATCTGAGGGCTGTAACACACACACACACACACACACCCCCGGGGGGGGGGAGGAGCAGGGAGGAGGGGATCATCCCCCAGTGCTGAGGGTCTGAGCAGGAAGCCCCAGCTGTGGGGCCAGGCTGTGGAGATGTTCTGTGGGGGAGGGGTGTAAGTGGGTTCTGGGAGGTTGGGGATGGCCCCACAGGCGTGTGCAGGAGGACTTCTGGAAGATGTCCTGGGGGTGCCGTACTGGTAGGGGAGGGGAGGAGGGGGGTGGGAGCACCTGAGGCTGGAGTGGCAGAAGAGGGGTGCCATAGGGCTGAGGGATTGGGATGGTGGAGGGAGGAGCCCCACGAGGGACTGGGAAGGGGGTGCCCGGGGCACTGGTGCTGACCCGGTGTACCTGGCAGATGGAGAACTCTCTCGAGTACATCCTGGAGACGGTCGATTCGCTGCAGATGAGGTCGTGGCTGGCCGACATCCAGGACTGCATGAGCCCGGGGTGAGTGAGCCAGCGTCCAGCCGCAACCCCAGCTCTGACATCTCCCCATCATGGCAACAGGGCTCCGGGTCCCCATCGCCTTGCTCTGGGACCCCCCTGTGCCACCAACTCCTCCACCCCCTGCATTGCTCTGGCTTCCTGCTCTGGGCCTGCGCTCAGTGCAGGGTCCAGATCCCCGTTCCTAGGAGGGGGAGCCAGGCAGCATCCCCCGGGGTGGGGGTGTCCTTCACCTCTGAATCATGCCGGTGTCCCTGCAGGGAGAACACGGACAGCACAGACCTGCCCTGCCTCAACCACTCGGAGAGCATGCCAAGCCGGGAGCTGCCCCTGCTGCCCAGCGAGAGCAACGAGCAGCTCTCCCAGGGTGAGTGTCAGCAGAGACCCCCGGTCCTGCCAGCCCCCCGAACCACCCCCTAAGCCATCTTCCCCCATAACCAAATCCCCAACCTCTCTACCCCGTACCCTCCCCAGGCCTGCCTCTTCTCCCCCTGAACCAGCACCCCGTAGCTGGGCCCCCTGCCCTGCATCCCCCTTTACCAGGGGCCTGTACCCAGCCCCCCTCCCAAGCCCTGCCTCCTCCCATACCATAGATGGATGGCATGCTCCCAGCCCCCTCTGTCTGTGTCCCAGAGCCGCAGGGTCGGTGCTATGGCCCCAGCTTTGGAACAGTCTCTCAGAGGACCTGTTCAGTGAGCCAGACCCCCTGGGGTCTCTCTTCTTCCTGGATAAGCCATGTGGCTTCACTGCCTGCTTAGACTGGACCTCTGGGCTGCAGCCTCCTGCTTCCCCCGTGAGCTCTGCCCAGCGAGTCCCGCTGAGCCAGACCCTGGCAGAGACGTGCCCACGCTGCCGGGACGGTGCCCCTCACCCAGCATGGCAGGGACAGCTCCACAGCGCTGGCGCACAGTCGGGTGTGTTAGTCAGCTGGCCACGGCACAGGGAGCCCTTAGGGTAGCGGAGAGAGAGATGCAGGTTACAGTCCAGTCCGTTCTGCTCAGCCCAGAGCCCCGCCAGGCTGTGGGGAGCCCCTTGGGGCAGACTCTCTCCCCGTCTGTCTGATCTTCTTTATCAGGCTCCCAGGTTGTGGTCTGCTGGAGGCAGTCAGGGTACTTACCCTCCCTTCCCCCTCCCCCCAGTCCTTTGTTCCCAAGCTGGGGAGATGCAGCTCAGCCCCCTGCTAAGAGGTGGGTGTGGCATTCCCTTGACCGGACTGCCGTGTCCCCTTAGCTCTCCAGCCTGGGGTGCCTTGGACACTGCTGTACTGTCGCAACAGGCTGCTCACGCGCAGCCCCTAGCATGGAAAGCCACTCTCAGATGTTTACATGAAGCTCTCCCAGCCAGCCATGAGTCGATACAGGGTGGCACCCACATATCCCCTGTCCCAGCTCTGGCCCCCCCCATAATGTGCGTCTTACACTGCTCAGTAGCCCGCTGGACAACACAAGCTCATAGATAGTTGAACATCCCAACAAAGGGTAATGTTTATGCACCAGCCTTTGTTGTCTCAAGTAGAGGTTTCTTAAACACTTCAATTGAACCAGCTGGTTTAGAGAAAACAATAAACCGAGTTTATTAACTGGAGAAAGACACAGTTAAGTGATGATAAGGGAAAAGGCATAAAAGTCAGAATTGGTTACAAAAGAAAAAAAGATAAAACCACTAGCTAATTCCTAAACTTTACCAAGCTCAATAAGATTTGAAGCAAACATCATTCTCTCCACACCAGATGCTGCAGGTAATTCTCAGTTCATAGGCTGTCTCTCCTTTCAGTCTGGGACCACTCCCCTTAGTTCAGTACCCCGCGGGTCTTCATTGATGTGAGAGGAGAGGTGGCTAGAGGCGTTTCCCCCTCTTTGATACCCCAACCCTTCTGTGCTGGACAAGCCCTTGCTGGGTCATAGGGGCCGGCGGTTCCATGGCGTACGTCAGCTCAGATGAATTGTAAATTTCCTGTTTACAAGTCCCCTGCTGGTGAATCTCTGATTTAAGCAGGCAGTGATCTTTTAGCCCCTAGCTGGCATGGCTATGTCTCTGAGAAATTGGCTTATGGGATTATGCAGAATCACAACATATTTCACTAACAATCATACAGTAAAACCTCATAATTTGACATGAAGTGTTGTTACACACATTTCAACAGGGCCGTGATGTTCAGCAGATTGAGTTTTCAAATGATACCTCACAAGGCACACTTTGTACCAAATATATCGCAGCCATATAAAAGTGGTGACCATGGAGTACAGGGTGTCACAGCAGGAAAGTCGGTATGTCTCTGGGTCGTTGGTTGCTAGGTATTGGATTTGTCATTGTCTTCTGAAGAGCTCCACTGATATGGGATCTAAGGGTCCAGACAACTAGGCGACACCCACACCTGTGTCCTAGCCTGGTGAGAACACACAGACCTGTTCTCCGCTCTGAGCAACAATGCAGCACAGGAGGGAACTCTGGCGCACACACACCAACCTGTATAAAAATGTTACAAAAAATTGTCACTTTGTGACAACCTGCCATACCAGCACCCTAACTCCATAGCTGGTCCCCAAACCCCACTCTCCCCCCGCCAGGTACCAGCACCCCATAGCTGGTCCCTCCCAGCCCTTCCTCTAGACCAGCTCCTTCAGCCGTCTTCTCCCCTACACCTGCCACGCTAGACACCTAGCCTGTCTCTCCATCCCCAGCTCCCTTCTCCCCTAGCCTAGTTCCTCCTTTTCACACTTGGCTCCTGACTCCTCTTCCATCCACTGCTTTTGGGTGCAGTGACCCCAGCACAGCCAAAGCTGGCATGGGCTTCCCTGTGGCTGGGGAGTGGTGCAGAAAGAGTTACCCCCTGGGCCCAGGGGATCTCGAAGCAGCCATGGGCTGAGGGTGTCTTATTCAGGGGCAGGGTCTGCAGGGGTGGCAGTGACTAGAGAGAGGAGACACGGTAGACAATAACGGAGAGAAGAGGGAGATGGGTACATGGGGAGTGGTGGATCCAGAGAATGTGCTCCCCTGGGCCAGTGGAACTGCCCGCCACTGGATCACACTGCGTTCAGGAATTGGGTGCTTCCAGAGAAAACCAGACCAGCTGGACCTGCTGAGGAGGGAGCATGAGCCACACAGCATGGGATGGCCTCAGCATGAGCCAACCCTGAACTGGGTCTGTCCCAGCGCCCCCAGCTCTGTGGGGATTGGTAACTTCATCTGCATCTGTCCCCCCAGGTGCGTATGGGGGTCTGTCCGAGCGCCCCTCGGCTTCCATCTCCCCCAGCTCCATCTCCATTGCTGCTTCCCACTTCAACTCCATGGAGCTGCTGCCTCCTGAGCTGCCCCCCCGGGTACCCATCGATGAGGCAGCTGAGCGGCTGCAGGGTCCCTACCCCCCTGGCCTGCTACACACGCCCTTCCCCGACACTCCTGACGCCACAGGTACGGAGCAGAGGAGTCCATGCGGGGATACTGGGGGAGGAGTAATGAGTTCGGGGGGACCATGTAGCCAGAGATGGGGGGGTTTCCAGGAGGTGTGTCGGGAGCGGGACCCAGAGTGGAAAAGAGATTTTGTGGGAAGCAAAGGTGTAATTGGGAAGGGGGTGTGGGATGAGGGGGAGGTCTCTGGTGGGGGGTGTGGTTGGGGGGCTGGGGATACCAGATCTGTAGGAGGGGCATGCTGGGGGGGTGTACTGGGTCTGGTGGGCGTGTGTTCAGGGGAGGGGGGAATGGGTCTGGGGGAACGTGCCAGGGACAGGGGCCGAGTGGGGAGCAGGTTGGGGGGATGTGCCAGGGATGGGGCTGAGAGGAGGAGGAGGTTGGGGTGAAGGAACAGGTGCCGAGTGGGGAGCAGGTCAAGGGGACGTGCCAGGGACGGGGCCAAGTGGGGAGCAGGTCGGGGAGAAGGGATGGGGGCTGAGTGGGGAGCAGATCATGGGGGACGTGCCAGGGACGGGGC